ACCGCTCGTAAATGTACTCTAGTTTCTGCTCGTGGCATGCCACTGTACAGACGACGGATGGTCGCAAATAAACAACGCAGCTGATGCACCTTTAAAACTCAATAACTAGCCAACAAACTGACGACGCTCACTGAAGCACAGGACTTCTAGCAGCTCTGCCTTGGTTGTTTGAATTCAGCCGAAGCATGAATGCAAGTCACGACCGCATCGTTCAGTGACTGGACGTCCCTGCACTCGGATGTGTACGTAGCACGAGCTCGGCCGCGCGGGGATCTGCTGACAGAGGGCAAACGCGGCGCCCGCGACATGACGCTACTTAACATGCAAAAGGCACGGTATTGGCGTAAACATGGGCAGCTCCTCCTTTCCTCAGATCCATGACTCAGGGAACGGCGGTGTCGTTCTGTGCAAAAACAAAATCGATGTTAATCTACACTTGTAACCGGAAGCCTTCTTGTAAATGCTCAGATCTACCTCCCGACACGTGTTGCATAAGCAGGTTCGAAATTTTCAGCTGCGATCTTTCTTGCAGCGGCTGCCGTAAACAGGTGACCCATGAAATGTCATGATGTGTTTATGTTTATGATGTGACTGCTCTGAACACACAGTCACACCAACGTACCAAATAGCAAGGATGGTATAACGTGCCGACTTGGTGGATAAATTTGGCGACAAAAATGTATTTTTTCACACAAAGCTTGGTGCCAAAGATGGTTTTGGACTACAAATTTTAGTAACGGCGTCGCGAAAACAGTACAGTGCACACCACAACCTAACACGTGGCCTATATTAAAAGATATGATGTCTCTATGGTAATGCATTTCGTCACGCAACACAAAGAAACTTTTCCGTAACGACCCTTTACCGTATCATGGAATCTTTTTTAGGTTTTATTCCAACCCGAGGAAAAACATCATATGATTTTTAGTTGGTCGCCCAACTCGGTAACAGATCGGCGACCAGTCAGTTAAGTTCCTATGACTTCCCTCAACTTGTCTTCAACAACTATTTCCCCGCTTTAAATATAGACATTTAATTAATGTTTTGCTAGCCACTAAACAACAATTTTTCCCAGCTCATCCTTTTGCTAGTATTGATCTTTATTGCTGAAAATGTATATGACACGTCAGCGATGTAGGCAATGGCAATGCAGTGAGAAGTGAGGAGTGGTCTGGCGTAAAAATAAAAAACGTAGGCAATGAGGAGAGAGGGGTGGGAGTGAATGTGTGGGATGTTGAGGGGGGGGGGGGGGGTGAGGGGGGAGTGAGTAAAGGTTCCATTGTCATCGTTCCTTTATCAAGAGGTCCACGACAAGTAGCAGGATGTTTTGTGGGATTGTGTTCCACTTATCATAGGAGCTCAGTTGACGATTGCCATCTGATATCTCTGCGGAGAATGTTGGCTATTTGCTGGTAAAGCATGCCCACTGGAAGAGGAATGGAACGGAAGTGAGCCATTCTGCGGTGTTCATTCATATGCACATTTTTTGCGTTTGTAATCATGACATATGTCTGGATGCAAATGTGATGCGGTTCATCTTTTGTTTTCTACCATTAAAGGGAAATTTTCCCGACGGTACGTCTTAGCATAATTATTGTAGATAGGAAAAGAAGTGTTTTGCGTTTGTATGGGCTTTTGAACAGCGTTTGTATGGACTTTTTCGGTGCAGTCTACAGCCCTGCTCTTCTTAAGACCTAAGCCTCTCTAAATTTATGTTAGATATACGCCCGCGAGGATTTGCAACCTATTTCGGGGAGGCTTCTTCAAGGTGACCCTGGCGTACATGAGGACATAGAAGCGTCATTGAAATCCTACTATTCCATTAGCCATACAGTGATCAACATCAACAATATATAATTGTCGAGGTGTTCATATCTGGTGCTCGTGAGCGTGATTTGCAAATATAACGGCCGCTAATTGGCTCTCAATCAGTATTGCGCAAGGTACGATGGCGCAATCAAACAACGACGACGATTGGTATCGTGAAGTGATGCAAATTCTTCTTGGATGTACGGTCCTTGCTCCTACTTTATAATTCATTTGGTCTGCAATACATACATCATTGTTGCCTTGTATGGGGTTTCACATGCTCAGCTTACACGAACAAAATTGGCCTGCTGCAGAAGCATATAATTAGCATTGTTGCTAATCTACACAGAATGGCGCAATGTGATTCCAATTTAGAAGGCCTAAAGTAAAACTAGGGATATTGAAAAACAGTAGTTAATCTCCCGTATGCATGGAAAACTTACTTTGAACGTGCCCCTGAAATGAATGCCCTGAACGCTAGCAGATATTGCAAGAGAAACCATAAGAAGTAGACATGGCTTCAATGAAATTCCCCCAAAAAACTCTGTGGTCGTCGTGCGGCAACGTGGATCGGCCCTCATCTCTGGAATTCCATTGTATCACCTGAAATACCAATAGCACATGCTATTAATGCAACAAAAGCGGAATGAGGAGGCCCACAAAAGATCATATTCTTGAAAGGTACAATTCTTCGTGATACATTTGATGTGTCATGTGGCTGTGTGTGCGTATATATATATATATATATATATATATATGTATATATGTATATTGTTATGTTGGGCGGGCTCGATTTTGTCTCTACTAGACCAAAGGCGTTTAACCAAAATGGGGTATATTGATCACATGAGCATATAGGCATGAAGTCATCCTGACTTCCTACATCGCTTAGACCACATTTGATACGAGTACACGGCGGCTATAATCCCCGGGGGAGGTAGCAGTCGTCGGTAACAGCAACGGTCACTAAAGATGTGTCAACATCGTGAATAACAGTGTTGCCAAGGACACGCTGACGTCGTGTATATCAACGACAGCGGAGGGTACACACATTTTGCGTGAGGGGACATGGCCTAAAGGAGGCCTGCATATTGGACGTCATCCCATTGCTGCCTGCCAACTGTTCTAATTCTGTCATGTATTCAGCTGTCCTGGCTATCGCGGCCTTCGTTGACCGATCGGCGACAGGCTGCTTGCTGATAGCGCTATTGGTCATGGACTTTGGTCGGCGACAAAAAATACGCTTGCCACCCCTGGCAAATAGTTTCTCCTCAGTGTATGACGTTTTTTAACAACGCGGGATTGGTTAAATTAGAAGCAATTTTCTAAGCAAAGTTTTGTGACGGACAAAAATTAAGATTGCCATCGAATGCACTGTTTACTTTTATATTTCACGCTCTTTTCACTAGTTGCAACATTCAAGCATGCCTTTTTGAATTTTAAGCGGATTTGAACCTGGTCTGGCCCAACGTGCGACAGTGAGCTGCACGCTCTGCCCTGCCCAGTAGAAACGTAGGCAGATCCACAGGAAAGACATTGCTTGATGGTAATTGGCCCGCATGCCGTGCGTGATGGCAGGTAGCACACTAAGAACAGCGGGGCCAGCTGAAGTTTAGGCCCTATGCGCCCATTAGTGCTGTCGAAGCTGTGCTGTGACAGCACTGGAGAGTTCATATGACCGAAACGTCTGTGGATCTCTTCTTCTCATCAGAGCTACTTACCACTCCAAACGGTATACAGGCTGACAAATATAAAGGAACCCCCCAAAATGTCATTCGCCATCATCCATTGGGCTTTTCGAACACTCCATAGAACCGTATTGGGCTGGATGTGTGTGCTGTTTGTGAAAAGCCTGAAGGACAGCAGCATGAACGCTGCCATGAAAAGGTTACAGGGCAGTTGGATATCTGGTTGTTGATGGAACGTCGGCATTAATTCCGGCTCAACTGAAAGTCTCGGTATTCCTATTTAGCGTGTGATGTAATACGTGGCATTGTTTTACACCCATATAATACACGCGCACTGTTTTTTCGGGGCTTATCATCCGTTGTTTTATGCTAAAACAACGGGCAAAGCTGAGCGTCGTATGGTCGTGCATCAATCTCCGAGGTAATAATGCTGACGGATTGTGTCGAGCTTTCTTTGATAGAACCAGCATTTCTTTGATTATACAAAAATCCGGAATGCATGTGTACTGATGGACTTCTGCCGTCATCCAATGTTTCTGGCTTAATCCATCAAAACGCCAAGAGTCTATATCATAGATCAGACATTGCTCGGAGAGAAACCAGGAGAATGTAGATATAGTTGGGTAGATATTTCGGCAACATGCTTTTATCGAAACAATAGCAAAAGTGAATTCAAAATTGCCTACCGATGATCGTACTCGATTTTTAGGCACGCCTGAACGCCTGAGAAACGCCAAAAACAAAAAAGGGAATATCCCTTTCGGTGACTATTTCTTGGCAACACACGCTCAGGCTGGAAATGGAAGGAAGTATAGACGCTACGCCCCTTTTAGAGCTCAAAGTCATCTACAGAGCACAGGACCATCCAGACAGGAAAATAGATGAATCTATTCTTATAAAAAGTCGGCGACCAAATCCTACCATGCAGGGCCGGTTACGCGAAAGTGATATGTACCTTGATATGTGATGTGTGCCAGCTTAAAACCATTGCCACGTCTGATTCCCGACACATGATGTGCAATAACTGTTCATTTGAAATAGCTTGCGTGTATAATTGATGCGCGACATGTGGTGCTTGTTTACTTCAACTCGCTTGCATGTTTGAATGAAGCAAGATGCGCGAGGCCTATTTGCGTTAATTCGTTTGCAATGTACACGTATGTTCGCGCATTCTAATTCTGAGATAGACACTGTATCGTGGTAATGGCTGGCAATCGCTCTTTACTTAATCCCCTGAATGTTGATGTCTTGTAAAAACTGTGGCTTTCTGCTTCAAAAAAAGAAAACATAAATATCGAGTAGGATCATCGGCAGGGAATTTTGAATTCGCTTTCGCTGTTATTTCGATAAAGACATGTTGCCGAACTATCAGTCCAACTATATCTCCGTCCTCCTAGCTTTTTTCCGAGGAGTAAGGCTAATACTTCTGTCTTATCTACGTGAACGATGTTCCTCGCTAATACACTGAACAACTTACAAGAGCCTATCTCCTCAAAATGTGCATTCTTTAGATTGTCTTGGTATTTCAAGTCAGCTCTTTACTCCCCCCAGCCATTACAACACCACAGGCAACAAGCAACTGAGCACAAAAGGAACGCGCTATATGCACTGTGGTGAACAACGAACAACACGACAGAAACTGGTTCTCGAGGTGTTTTGACAAGCTATAGCCTTCGCGTGTCATTCAACCGCTTGGGCATCCGCCTCGCGTCCGTGGGGCACATCGTGGGCTGGCTTTGAACGTCACAGTACGACAGCGCTATTAATAAGATGAGATGAAGTAAACACCACGATATACCGAAGGGTTCATAAGGTCAGCAGCACCCCACCATTAACGTCACTGCGGTCAGTTCTGGGGCGCCGACATGCTGTCTAAATCACAGGAAATCCCAGTGCACTCGTTCAGATCCCAACACCGCAACAACATCCGGGAGGCTTCGTCGGAATCGGCCAGGCCCGTCATGTGTGGGCAGGCAGTGCACGGCTTCACGAGCATTTAGGGTACGGGCAGCAGTCCGGGTACGTCAGGTTCAGGCTCTTGTCCGGGGTCACCAGCTTACAAGATGGCCCGGCGCCGACGCTGCCGCACCTGCCGGGCAGAAGCGTGCCGTGGAGTAATAGCTATGTGTTGTCTTGGTCGTTTTAGATGAAGGTTCGACCTGTGATGCCTCGGCAACGAATGACATCGCATCAGCGTTGACGATTGTGCCCATCGAATGCTAGAGTGTCCGAAGTCAGGGTTAAAAAGCGACCACCTAAAGTGATTCGCACCCATCTTGCCAACGGTCGGTGAATCGGAGGCAAGCACGCAGACCAGCCGAGCCACACACAAACACCGATCCCAAATGTTTGACGTGCCAGCTTTGTGATATGTTTTGGGGGTGACCATGGAACAGCGGCCACCTAACGATTGTGGAGAGGAAAATAATGCCCTTTATAAGCAGTCCAGCGATTTTGTCGGCACATTTTGTGCGTGGGTCTTAGCGTTTGTGGAAGCTGTCATAGCCTTTCTCCCATCACGTCACAGAGACATTACTCATGCTCACACGGCGTCAATAAGCACAAGCACTGTAATCCGCCATCCCATACCTCGGGCCGTGAAATATGAAAGTGGGGTATCCGCCGAACTGGTGTCGTCTATCGCTGAGGCTGAAACCACGCATGCGTGCATTCCAACACCCCGTGGCTTTCGCGATGGTGTCGGTCAAGTCAAATCGCAATCGCAGCCCTACGTACCCATGGCGTCTGATAAGAGTGGCTCCTTGGCAGAAGCCTTTCTCGCAGACATCGTCTTCAGGCCATGACGAACCGCTTGCAAAGAACTGGTTCTTTGTGGAAACCCAGCACTCGTTCTCATGACCTGCAACATATACAGACGATGTGGAAGCAGCATATATGCACTGCGAGGAGTGACACTTAAATATCAGCATTTTCTTCTTCCAATCCTTTTCAAATAAATGCTCATAGCAGGTCACATAAGAAATGCAACGTTGTGATCCAAGCTTAAGGGAAGCGATCAAATCTCAGCGCAAAAATGATGGTGTAAAAGCAGCCAGGCTTTGTTCTCACAGTATGCTTATCTGATTGCCCTGAAATCTTCACCATTCGGTACAGCACAGCTGATTTTCCACTGCAGATACAAAATAATGTACACAGGATCAGGATCAGGCACTACAGGTACCCTGAGATACTACCTTAGGCGACACAACGATTGAATGACCAAATTCCATTAACCCAGGATGAGGTATGAAGGTCAGACCAAGGTCAAAACCAACCTGCTTTATTGCCCTAGGGTTTGCTGCATAGGGTTGTTTCTGGTATTTATTTTGAATTTATTGTTAACAAAGCCGCATTATACATCTTCCATAAACTTCTTTAAGGTCATAATAGGTAACGGACCTAAAATGACCCACTTCAAAATTTTGTATTTAAGAACATACTGCCTGGCATGATCTTTGTCGCCTACTCAGATGTAAAACTCAAAGGAGTATTGTATGATTTTGGTCACCATAGCCTTCAGCAGGTCAAACAAGGTCACTGGCCTTAAATGAGCATCTGACGTTTTGCTTAGAACAGGTATCTAGGTTCTGGGGACACTTTGGAGACCAATTTGGGGTTTGATCTTGTTTGACCTTATTTGACCCGAAGGTCATAACCTAGGAGCTCCAAACTTTGACTAAGTGAGCTAGCGTGCGGCCAATACACGCTGTGAAGTTGGTGTCTCTACCTCTCTTAGTGAACTGACCCCCACCTGACCGAATGCTATCCAACCGGCTACCCGGGCGCGTGTCAGCGGCATTGCATTTGAACAAGCATTTTCTTGTCAATTTTCAGTGAATACCCAAACTTTAAAGCAACATTTTAAAACTTTTAAAAGACTTTTCAATGGATTGATCTATCGCGCAAACGGTCAATGTTGACATTTTGTTTGCATGACCTCGGCAATCGTCACCACTGGAAGTTACAATGTTTAATATACACGAAAATGATGACCTTTCACCCGACTTGGCGTCATCTATTATGCACGCATATTGGGGCCTGAGCTAAAGCACATCGAAGGGTAGAGGTTCTGCGCAGATCAGTGTGGTAGATTCTGAGATATGAGTTGCAGACCTTTGAGAGTGAAAATTTTTCGTTGCGTGTTGAACATGTTTGACCCGGGCTCAACTGCAGGGCCTTCTCCTTGGGTCGGCTGCTCTTGGACTGAGCCCGCTCTGCCGAGAGGATGGCATCCACACAATGAGTTCAGATTTTACGGCGGCGTGGAGAGAGCTGACGGCGGCGTCGCCCGGGATGCAGGGTGCGGTCCCAGCGACACGTGACTACCAGCATCCCAGGGACGCTGGAGCTGCTGCGGAAGGGGAATACAACCTGGGACGACTACCTTAGATCACGTGCAGGAAACTGCTCGAGACGCAAGGACGTCAGGAACGGTGTCAAGAACCGTGTCATCCTCGACAATCTCCATTAAAACTCTCGGCAACTTGGGCAGAAAGGCCGCCTCGGCTTCAGCAGGCCCCGAAGCACCCTTACTAATCCTCCAGCGGAAGGAGCCACTACGGTGATGCACCTGACAGTTAGACTCTGATAAGACCCTGATCCTGATAGACCTGATCTTGATATATCTGGTGATGGTGATGCCACAGAGATCTGGCCGGAGTCGGCCGACAATCTGACACCCCGTCGGCCACGCACGCTATTGCGCTCATTCGTCTTATGCGACTGTGTGACTTGGATTTTGTACTTAAAACACAAAGTGCTCTCTCCTTGGTGCTGCATCTGACGAGATTGTCCAGGAATCCTTCAACATGGAGTTCTGGCAGCAAAGGCAGGAGAAAGTGAAGCAATGCTCATATCGTCTTTTCTGAATGATTTTGTCCGTTGTACAGCACATTTGATGTTAAACAATGTCCAACGGACAATGGACAACGGTTCCGTAATCGCTGCGACCTTGCTTACACCAAGTGAAACATTAACATGCGTGTTGACGTCACGTGAGGACACGCGTGAAAATACGATATGAATGCAACTATTAGCCCCTTCCGAGAAAATAGCAATGGTGAACATGTAGAGAACATAATAATGGGCATGTATTGCAATCACCAGCAACACATGATGACTTAAGATTAAGTATTTTTTTATTGGAAGATCCTAATTTTATAAACTTTGTTATACTAACATCTCCCAAAATCTTATCCTCAAGGCTGTTAGCAAAGTATGCATGTGCAGTACCCGTGCAATCTACATTGACAAGATATGGGGATGGGGGCTGTTCTGCGACGCATGGAATTACCTGTGAATAACACCACGGGTCAGGTGCTGCCTGCGCAGAATTAAAGCTTTCTGAGCTCCGGGTGCTTCCGTGCCGCCCAAGTTACCGTCTTCAAAGACGCTGGCCACACCAGCAGCAATCGCACAGAACTGAAGTTACCGAACGTCCGCCAACATTGCACAGAACACCCACATGCTGGAAGAAGGCACGACGCGTCCCTTGCGTTCCAAACGCCCCGCTGTTCTCACCTGGCCTGACCGCCACCCGCTCCATGGTGACGTAGCCCAAGCCGAGCGAGGCACCGGACAGCAGGGTGAAGATGAGCAGCGGTGAAACTCCCATGGTGAGTGCTCGGCCGGACCGTTCCAGATACAACGATGCGGTCGGGGCAGGGATGTCTGCTCAAGGAGAGCGCCTACCGCGGTCGTGACGTCACGTGACCTTTTGTTAGTGTTCGCATCCGCCGCCAGAGGCGCGAACGTTGGGAACCCAGAGACGGGTTGGTGTTCAAGTACAGATGCAGAGCGCTGGCAAAGCGGCTGTGATCCCCCCTCCTCCCGCCTCGCTCCTTGGGCGCGTGGCTTGGTAGCAGTATTCCGGCAATGGGAGAGTGGGAAAAGTCGCATCAGTGTTTACGCCGAGCTCGCTCCTGATATAACCACCCAAAATGGGATAAAGTTTCTTATAACTACACACAGCTATGTTATTAATCTTCCGCTTCATATGCAACAGTTAAATTTATTGAGTGCACGTATTCGTTTCTTTTTTGTAACTTGCTTCTGAATGAACCGCTTTTAACAGGCGCCCGGGTGACCGCCTAGATACCCTTCGCTCGGGTGGGGGTCAAATTGACCCCCCGAAAGCTCGAGAACTATGAGAGCTAGAGACACCAAATTTCCAGGGTATGTTGATCTGTACGTGAACCCACTTAGGTCAACTTTTGAGGTTCCTAGGTCATGACCTTCATGTCAAATAAGGTCATGCAAAGTCAAATTCCAGGTTGGTCTCCAAAGTGCCCCCGGAACCTAGATACCTGTTTCTAAGCAAAAGGTCAAATGCTCATATAAGGCCAGTGACTTTGTTTGAACTTTTGAGGGTCATGGTGACCGAAACCATACGAGACTGCTCTGAGTGTTACATTTGAATAAGCGACAAACTTTACGCTAGGCAATATGCTCCTAAAAACTAACTGTTGACCTGGGCCATTTCAGGTCAATGGCCTATTTTGACCTCTAAGAAGTCTATGGAAGACGTAAAATGCGGTTTTTGCTGTCAATAAATTCGAAATAAACATAAAACTATCCATTGCAGCAAACCCTGGAGTAATAATACGGGTTGGTTTTGACCTTTGTCTGACCTTCATACCTGACCTTAGGTCAATGCAATTTGCTCATTTAGTTGTGTTGTCTACGAAAGCATTTCAGATATGTATGGCCGGCCGCGTCTAACACTCCGTTGTTGCATCTGCATTGCATCACAGGGAATGTTGACTCGTACGTGGACTCACTTAGTCCACGTACGAGTTCGAGTCCTAGGTCATGACCGTCCATGACGGTCCAAGTTCGAGGTTCCTAGGTCATGACCGTCGGATAAAATAAGGTCAAGCAAGGTCAAATTCCAGGCTGGTCTCCAAAGTGCCTCCGGAACCTAGATATCTGTTCCTAAGCAAAAGGTAAAATGCTCACTTAAGGCCAGTGACCTCGTTTGAGCTTTTGTGAGTCATTGTGACCAAAATCATACGAGACTGCTCTGATTTTTTGCATTTGAATAAGCGTCAAACTTGACGCTAGGCAGTATGCTCCTTAAAACCAACTGTTGACCTGGGTCATTTTATGTCAATGGCCTGTTCTGACCTCTAAGAAGTCTATGGACGATGTAGAACGCTTTTTCTGCTGTCAATAAATTCGAAATGAACATCAAAGACTTTCCATTACAGCAAGCCCTGGAGTAATAAAACAGGTTGGTTTTGACCTTGGTATGACCTTCATACCTGTCCTTAGGTCAATACAATTTGCTCATTCAATTGTTGTGTTGTCTACGAAAGCATTTCAGAGATGTATGGCCGCGTCTAACATTCCGTTGGTGCATCAAATTGAACGATTCACCAAAAATTGACTTCGCTGAAACTATGGCCTAACTTTGACCTGCCATAGGTCAGCCACCTTACAAGGTAGATCTAATTTTTTCATCAAACCTCTTGCTATTCAGTTATCTGCAGCTATAAAAAAATTGGCGCAGCGACACCGCGCTGTTCGGAAACCATTCTGGAAAAACCTTCGGGGGGTCAATTTGACCCCCATCCGAGCGCGTGTTAAAAGGTTCAGCTTGCCTTACTTGGGGTGAATTTTCCACATGGTGGGGACGTTGTGCTTATGTTTTACTTCACAGAGTATGTTGTATCATGCATCGCAAGCAAGGTGAGTGCGCTACGCCATGCAGATCCAGGGCTGGCGCCATGGATTTTCGGTTGGCATCGCAGCTTTTCCAGAAGAGGGTCCTTGGTAAAAAGGGTACAAAACCTTACACGACAGCATCGTTCGATACTGTCTAAGTATATCAAATGACCACAGTAGTCGGCGCGCCCTAAAACTACGATCAAGAACAACAAGAATAATGAGCATGGTTTACCAGATGCACTCAGAATAGATGTTTACATGCATTACGGTGTTTGGTGAAAGCAGTGGTTGCCAAGTCCAGGGAGCACAGTTAACGATGGCGCCCCAAATTAGATGCTGCCGTCGTGACATTACCAGCGCATTGTTTTCCCGTTCGAATGCCAAGGATGAATGCTGGAGGTAAGCAGATTATTTGCTGTATTTATCTAGAGGTGATTATCCTTTTTCGTCTTGGTTAATCGTGAGAACCAACTGTATTAGGAAGAGATGGACAAATCCCAGACCGGAAATTGCACTGTTTTCGCCGCAGCTGTAGAATAGTCTGTGTTAGTTGATACAAGCCTGACCCCCTCCCAGTGATTCCATCGTGAGGAGGCTGCGCGGTGGTGAACCCTCAGCCGTGCTGGAAGGCCCGTCAGGAACGCACCGATTTCAGTGGTGCGGAGCGTGTCAGAGGCCGGGCTCGACTGCTGCGAGCCAGGCAGATCTCGGCTGTGACGTGTTCAGAAACTCTCGCCGGTAAGGCGGCCGGCAGCTGGTAACTCCATCCCTCTGCCGCTGTGTAAGGCTGTCGCGCTGCGGACAGCGCGACGGTACTCCTGTCCCCTCCCCCCCCCCCCCTTCCAGGATAGAGACAGGCAAACGGACGGAGGCAGATGTTAGAAGCTGTGTGTGTGGATGGGGTTCGAATACACTGCAGGACAACAGCGCGGAAGCGGACATGAAAGGAGAAGCATGTAGTCGGATAGCTGAGCTGTTGAAAGAGACGCTTTTTGTAGCAATAGTATTCGCAACAGCAAGAATCGCGAGTTCTGATTTGAACATGGGTCTTTCTCCGTAGCTCGATATCTAGTACGCGCTAGTAATGAGTGAGATGGGTTATTTTCTAAGCTACGGAACATAAGAGGGCGTTTGTTATCTGAGTGCGTCTTGTGTTGACTTGATAATACAGCGTCGAGCAAAGTTGAGTATGGTGTGACAATTTCGCGTGCTGCCGCGAAATGATGGGCACAGGGCCTGGCGGACATGCCTTGATGGAGCTAGAATAAGTCATCAACCACATCAAACACTCTATTCATCAGCATGTTATTCGATACAATCAGTTCGGAAGCATGAGCCTTCCGGATTAAATGTTTGCTGGCTGTCATCATTTTTCGTTTTCAAAGCAACACTGAACAACGCGACAGAAACTGGTGCTCGATGTGTTCTGATCAGCTATAACCTTCGCGTGTCATTCAACCGCACGGGCATCAGCCTCGCGTCCGTGGGGCACATCGTAGGCTGACTTTGGACGTCACAGTACGGCAGTGCTCGGAATAAGACAAAATGAAGTAAGGCCACGACAGACCGAAAGGTGCACGCAGCACGCCACCATCCACGTCACTACGGTCAGTTCTGGGGCGCCGACACGCTGTCTAAACCCCCGAAAACCACACCGCACCCGTTCAGATCTCAACACCGAACAACATCTGGGAGGCGTCGTCGGGATCGGTCAGGCCCGTCGTGTGTGGGCAGGCAGCGCACGGCTTCACGGACACTTGACATACGGGCAGCAGTGTGGGTGCTTCAGTTTGCGGCTCTTGGGCGGAGTCACCACGCGACAGCCCTTTACGTAGACGATGAGGCCGCATCTGCGAAACACAAGTGTGTCGATTGTCCTGATCGCCGGTAGCTGATGGTCTTGCCTGTGAGGGCCGCAGATTGAACCAGACCGTGCGAGCTTCTCCAGTCGTGCCCTTCTAAAAGTGTATGATTTAATTGCGTCGGCGACCGTTCAAGCCCCCCCCCCCCCCGTCTTTTTAGTACTTACCTGACCGTAAGCGCTTGCGGTCTTTTGCTATTTTTATATTTGAGGGCTGCCAAATAACAGTTTGTAAGTACGTGACAGATGTCAAGGCTAGCTCATGTAGTCGGCAGGCGGTGCCACGATGATTTCCACCATCTCGTTCCCGAACTCGGGCATGCATTTTGATCCTGTCGCTGTCATCCCACGCCCATGTTCCGGCAACAGCAAAAACAAAAAAGCAAGCAGAAGCTGAAACCTCGGTGGGATGAGTTTCATTTCTAGTCATGTTTTCTGTTGTGAAATTTTTAAACCACACACATCTACGTCTCGACAACCTGTGGGGTTCGCAATAATGTCGGCAGGGCCAAAATGCGCACGCGTCCCCACGTACCCGATGTGAACAATGATGGTGCCTCCTTCTCTGCAGATGCCTTTCTCGCACTTGTGGTCTTCATACCACGAAGAACCGTTTGCGAAAAACCTCTTCTTTGTGGAAACCCAACACTCATTCTTATGGCCTGCAACATACAGACGATATGAATAACGAGGCATCTGCATACGCTTAGAGCGGGAACTAACATACCAACATAGCTGACAAAAGCAGCTCATGCACGAGAGCTACCGGCCAATTCATTCCAGTCGGACCCTAGTCGTTAATGATCGGTTATGGTTAGAACAATAGCGACCTAAGCTCTTGGCACATAACTTTAAAGCGCAACGAGAGCATCGTGAGTGAAAAAGCTGGCTACTTGGTGCCAATATATATATATATATATATATATATATATATATATATATATATATATATATATATATATATTGCTCCTTGTCGCGAAAACTTCGCCTTTTGGTGCGCCACGACAGATTTGATATTGCAGTTCCAAAAATACTGATCATACGTTAGGCCAAACGTCACTGACTTCGCCAAATTCCCAAAGGCCCATTGCGTTACACTTATATAGCAGCACCTATTACACAATTAAAGTTCACACAATCTACTGCATTTCTGAAAATATTAAACCCAGTCCCGATAGTTAAATAGATGGCTACCAATTGAACCCAGATCAGATGCCGCTAATCTCGTCGATATTTAAAACGTTGAGACGTCGGGTAAAGCACGTTAGTTCTGCCCCAGTATTGATAGTACATGTAGAGCGATAATGTTTTTGCGTATGTAAAGCAACGAGGCGATGACTACAAAGCATTGCTTTCATTCTTCGTTTTCAGTTGGAACGGCTATGCTATGGAAAATTAAAAAAAAACGAAACTAAAAAACGAAAGACCATTTTCAACTGTCGCCTGCCATAATGTGACCAGGAACCCACAACAGCAGCTCACCAACGACAGAATCATATGTTAGCGACACAAAAACGGAATATTAACAAACCGCCGCACTGCCAGCCCAGAAACAAAGGGAGAAAATACAAAACTGAGCAGAAAAGCTGCCTCCGTTGTTAATTGATTTGGTTGTCGGGCGCACCGACCGCAGTGGCCGTTTCGTGTCCAAAGCTGGCTCCTTCACATGATAGATAAAGCAATATTCATTAAGACAGAGCAGAAAGTATTAACAGCTAAAGGTAGCATTTGACTCTCTTTTAACCGATTCCCAGTGCCAAAATGTTATAAGTAGGTTTGTAGTGTTTATTGCGTGCATGCAGGGTTAGATAAAATTTGGTCAAATGCATACGTGGGTCGTGCCGGCATATAGCCTTGTAAGCCCAACCTGGCGAGTGCAAGCTTGCTGTTGGTTGGGCCATTGCGAAACAACGGATAGATCAAGTCAGTTGCACGGGCTAGATGCGTTTTTACTAATGTTCACCCGCGGTATTGATATCTATCTATTTTGTGAACTTTTCGTGAGAAAAAAGTCTCAAGCATTTGCTTATGAAATGGGATCGTATCATCTTTTTCATGATGAGCTAGGAGTTGGGAGTTTGTTTGATGGTGGGAAACTTTCTGCAAAAATATTGCTCCATGGTTCTGGACCCACACAACCAACGGTAAATAGCCTGCAATTTCACGTGAATTTGTTTTCTACATATTGTTGGTGCCGTGTCTCGTGTGGGTTATATTTTTCATTATAAATATGACATTTAAGATGCTGGGGAGTTAGTTTGCCAAGAATCTATGCAATGCAACGAGCATTTGGGGTTCTGCGAGATCACGTACTGCACGAATATCATGTTCCTTGAAGATTGGTTCTGGGCTTTTATTGGCGGATATAGATTGTTATTCACCTTGTACACCACCTTGTCATACTCTATCCAATCATTACATCTTATATTATTTTTACCACCCTTTTCTACAGAATCAGGAACTTATTCAGTTTTTTTGTCACTTATTTAATCATTTGTCATAACTATCACCACAGACCAGACAAGAATAATTCACAAGCGGTCGGGTGGAGGACAATTTGATTCCCCCAGTTTTTCTTAAATAGCTTGCGAACGGCATGGTGTACTGCACCAGACAACTAAGCAACGAAATTTAGGATTACGAACAATGCCATTTACCTTAGGTCAGGTATGAAGATCAGGTCAGGGCAACACTTAATTGATTTTTACTTGAGACCTTTCGTTTTTGGAGGTTTTCGACGCTCACTTTGAATTTCTTGATCACGGAGAAATTAACAAATGTGTTATTTGAACTTCACAAAGCTCGGAACAGACCACTTACTCATCACGACCCCTTATAGCCGTTTGTTTTTAATAACATACCGCGCGGTAGAATCCAGTCTACGTATCTAGTGAATTTGGCGTCTCTACTAGCGCTCCAAGTTTTTCTGATCTTAGCGGGTTGAACTGATCACCCCACATGCGAACAGCGCCGTATTCAGGCGGCTATCCGGGCGCGTGTTAAGGTACGACAGATCTAAATAAGTTCACAGCATTGGTGTAGGTTTCTGTCAAACAATAACTCTTTCTTGCGTTGATGCCAATATTTCTGCTAATAGCACAAGATATGCTGTTGATATGTGTTGTAAATTGGAAGCGTTTGTACATGGTGAGGCACCAAGCTACTTGATCTTTGATCTCATTTTCTCTCCAGTGGTTTGATTATCGATTGTAAGATTTAGGTTCAAGTAAGACAAAGTTGTATTGTGATGCTTTGTGACATAACACCGTTTTTCATTCTCGTGTGAATGCTTTTTTGCACATTGAGAAAAATAAAGTTAACATGAGACAATTTATTAAGGAAATCCGACGGGTCATTAACAATAGTCTACAATTAATTAGTTTGCTTATTTATTTTCTCTGTCTACAGGTCTGCCGTACATTTTTGCTACAATGTCACGTAAACGCCTTAAAAGTTCGATCTTAAGTTTCTTACTTGACAGCATTTTTTTTATTTTGGATAAGTAGAACATCTTTGTTGTCTTCTCCCATGATTGTAAAGTGGTAAGCAGAATTCGAACATGCTAGGTTGCGGAGCTTTTTAATAAAGAAACTGATCAAGGGCATATTTCCCATTTTCGAAGTCCTGTGTGATTGTATGTTGTAGCAGCTGTGTGCTGCCGTGTAAGGCTGCGAGATATTTATGCTGGTTGGTAGGAAATCCATTTAATGTTGCTGTCGTACGCCAGAAGACGTGCCAGAAAGGAGCTTACATAATTGCAGGGAATGACATGTTATGACTGTAGCGGCTAGACCAAGTGATTCCGTTTTTGAAACGCAAGAGATAATCGATTGTAGAGCATATGGTGAGAAATCTCGTGACGATCGAACGGAAAGGTCTTGAGTACTGAATTGCCTGCAGGGAAGAAGCGTTGCGTCCGGAGAAAATAGTGACTTAAACCTTGTCATGGGTCTTCACTTTGGAGCTGGGTGGAATGACCTACACATCAAAAGCCGAAGGTTTTGTGAAAATGGAGGGCATGCGCCATTTTGAGCATGAGTTACCTGCAGACAGTAATCTTGGAGTGTTGCGGAGTTGATGACCTATCATTTGACGTTTAAATCGCTATCGATTTTTGGAATGGCAACATGGGACAAGATACAGCACATCGCAGAGCCAAGGGTTTGTGGCTTTAAAGAAGTAGGTTCTGAAAACCGAGACAACACACGCAAAAAATTGTAACTTACCACGCCAGTACTGGCGCAGGCGGGTCGAGGGGGAAGAAAGCACGTGCCTCTCCTCCATAGGTCCCAAGGCCCCTCGTCCACGACGCTTAAGAGCATATTTCGAGTGTTCTTAATGCCCTCAAATTAAGTCAGGAGTCGCATTAGGACTCACGGGCCGGAACCCTCAAATATCAGCCAGAGAGCCATTTGCGCCGATTGCGGACTGCCTGCAGATTCCTTTGGGCTTCTATGTCGGTTATGCCCCATCGGTACCAAACAGTTCGCTTCGTATCGGCCTGAAGACACATACCGACACAGAGTCACCCGTACCAGACAGCTTGCTTCATGTCGGCCTGAAGACACAGACCGACACAGAGTCACCGGTGCCGGACAGCCGGCTTCGTGTCGGCCTGAGAGCACAAACCGGCAGAGAGTCACCCGCACCGGGCAGCTGGTTTTGTGTCGGTCTGAGGGCACAGACCGGCACATAGAGCAATCATTTGCAAAATCGACTGGTGAAACAAATTACATAAATAAGTGTTGAGCTTCCGTGCTCGCATTGTTAGAACTAAGAACAATGATGGCTGGGGTTGCGATTTCTGTAAAACCGGAAGGTGTTGGCCGCTGCAGATAACACCGGGCAGCAGGCGTCGGACGCCCGATAACGACCGCCGTGAAATGATTCTTTCGAAAGTCCTTCAAAATTTGTTTGTGTGATTATATATTGAACACATCCGGTCCCTATCCGGTTGTTTTTAGAGCGGGAAGGGGTGGGGGCTTCACCATCAGAGGTCCTTAGTCAACCTTGTGCCCACGTCACCAAAGCTCTGGCTGCGCCCCTAGCACGCCAGCCCTGTGGGCTTATGAGATCCGCGAAACGGAATGCGGTATACCAGTTGGAAGCGATGTCGGCTATGCTGCGACGGTATGACAGCATCTGAGTGCGAACATGTGTCAGGAGAAGCCTACGAGGAACTAAACCCAGACGGTCCCACGGCGAGTATGTTCATGCTGCCGGCGTTGTTGCCTTCGTGACACTCTGACCCGACCAAGAGCAATTGCTAGGAAGGCGCCACATGCCCCTTAGGCTCGGGCGCTACCGCTGACCCTCACCTGGTCGGATTGCGACCCGCTCTGTGTAGGAATAGCCCCAGGCGATGGAGGCGGAGGCCAGCAGGGCGACCATCAGCAGCGGCGAGACTACCATGGTGGTCGGCCGTCCCAGGCGCAGTGGGGCCAACTGCGCAGCGAGCCGGGCTAAAGTAGGGCGCTCACCCACGTGGGTGACGTCGTCTGACCTTTGAGTACTACGTAAAACAAAACCGCCGGCAGAGGGTTGTTCGTTTGTTTGGATTAGAGCCTTTTTGACCAGAAATGAACATTTCAGGGCAATGGAATAAGGGAATATGGATATCGGTGGGGCAGGACCACATGCGCTTGGGAGGGAAAGGGGGAGGGGGGAGGGGGAGGCGACTGCCGAGCCTTAGCCCTCGCAGGAACTCCTCGGAGCGTGCGCTGGGTGCCCGGCCGGGGTCCCCCTCCACGGAGCCTCTCGGCCCACTCGTGGCTGATGCATGCAACCTGCCCCGGATAAGCGGGCTGTCACGCGGATTCGGTATAAGGCAAGGGAAAGAGAGAAACAGTCGGATCTGACAGAGGTGCAAGAGATGGGAGAGGATTGACGGGGACGAGCTGGCGTGCGAATAGAGGTGCTGGCAAAGTGTGGTGTCCCTCTCCCTTCTCCCCTTTTTACGGTGAATTCTATCCCACTGTTACATCCATTTGACGCCACCTGATCATTAGCGAGACCGCAGCCACCAGCTGCAGGCCATATCTGTCAAGTGTCAATAGCACCCAAAGTGAGCGAACCCACGGGTAGATGGCTCGTAAAACACACGCGCTAACCAATCGAGATATCGGATGGACTTGCATCTGGGTAGTCTTCCTACAGCTAGGTAGTTATCGTCCTGGCCTCTTCGCCAACTATCCGGTCAATGCTCGGGTACTCGGGTGCGTGCATCTACGCCGAGCCGTACCGCCAGTATGCTGTTAAGAATCAAATACACATGTTGAGTACTAATTAAGCATGAAAAGGACAAAACAGATAAGTATGTGTGTGTGCGTAAAAAGGGTTTTATTGACAGGTGGCATAGAAGTCATGCCGTGAGATGAAGATAATGCGCAATTTTGGTCCGCACCAACCGACGTCAAACGTGAAACCGAATCCTTAACTACAGACTCATGTTTCGGAAGGCTGCTGAGCATCCTATTAGGTATGAAATAAACTTTGGAAATATCCTGCCCGTCCCGTGTGTTAGGGAAGGGTGCCTTTATTGCGGCACGTTAAGGAAAATTGACTTCTTTAAAATACCATTAATGCTAGAGGGTCGCCAGCCGAGCAAAACTTAACTCGATCTATTCCGCATATTTGGGAAAGGTTAAGTCGCAGATATATTTTTTGTGTATCTTGAGTTACTGCCAATTTTTAAAAGGGTTTCAAAGGACAACTGACGAGACATGTTTGACATCACGCTCACGGCATGACGTAATTCAACGGAAGGGCGCCCACCAAAATCACGTTCTGATCTTATGGAGTACACAGCTCAGGATTGTATAAAGGGTGGTGCGGTCTCTTCTGAGGTCTATGAATAATAAGCCACTAGCGACGACCGTGCAGCACGCGGTCCTTCTTAGAGCGCCCCACGATCCTCGGTAACGCACCCTGGTCATCAATGCTTCGAAGTAGCAGCACGGAAGTAGATTTGCATGGAACGGATAAGTGGGAGCTCGTGAACCGTATAGAGCAGGCAACTGCACCTTATCGGCCCGCGAAAGTGATCGCAAATCCGATGCAATCTAACGAGAAGCCAAATCGGCCAAACCCGCTCTTGGGCTTCATTTAGCGCAGACTTAGCTCAGAAACCGAATTTGGTGACGAAGATGCTTTATGAAGCGACAAAATCTACTCGACGGCGCTCTGCAGCTTGTATCAACTAACCCAGACTATTCTACAGCTGCGGCGAAAACGGTGCAATTTCCGGTCTGGGATTTGTCCATCCATACCTAATGCGGTTGGTTCTCACGATTAACCAAGACGGAGGAGGATAACAACCTCTAGATGAATACAGCAAATAATCTGCTTACCTGCAGCATTCATCCTTGGCATTCGAACGGGAAAACAATGCGCTGGTAATGTCACGACGGCAGCATCTAATTAGGGGTACCATCGTGAACTGTGCTCACTGGACTTGACAACCACTGCTTTCACCAAACACCGTAATGCATGTAATCATCTATTCTGAGTGCATTTGGTAAACCATGCTGATTACTCTTGTTGCTCTTGATTTGAGCTTTAGTGCGCGCCGACTACTGTGGCCATTTGATATACTTAGACAGTATCGAACGATGCTGTCGTGTAAGGTTTTATGTTTGACAGTATCTCACGACTCGGCGACTTTCGCCGACTCGGACGGCTCGCCACGTCGGATTGAGCGTTGATTGAGTGCCCTCATGTCTTTGAAGATCTGGATCATGATCACGTATCTGGATCGATCAAGCTGCTCATGCTGAACTGTGTGGCAGTCTTCCATGTTCATCAGGAGACACGCGGGGTTCGTGATCTGGATATCGCGCGTGAGTATAGATCCCTGAAAAGTGCTCGCCGTTTTACCTTCGCGATATTTTAACGACACCTGAGATAATCGCACCGAAACATGGTACAGTAAACACCGTTTGATAAATTCATTTAGTCATGGATATATTTGGGTTTGTTAAGTAGTGGACGTAATCCGATGCGGATCGCCTTTCACGGAAGTCTGAAGCAAAAAGCTGATTTGGGGCTTTTGGGCGTTATTTTATTCTTCCGTAAATGAATGCCGCATAATTTATGCAAGACTACGTGTATGCTAGACGGTACCATCATGCAATTTTGAGCACTTTGCGTGCTTGGGCAGGATTGGGTATTGGCCATATTCTGTTCGTATGGATTGAAAAACCGAGCGCTGTAATTGTTAAGCGGTAGATTTTATAATAGATTACTTTGGCGAAATTCCGTCACAAGCAATTTGCACACAATAAGCGAGTTGAAACATGATCTGACCTGTCTTCAGACGGTCGATGATGTCAACGTCGCGAGTTCGGATCCACACGTCCCTGAGACTGTTCCTAGGTGGATCCAAGCCACCCAGGAGAACCTTGACAAGCAGCTGCTGGGGCAGTGTCATCGGGCAGCGTGTCGCGATGTGCGTCTGAAGCAACGCTACGTCAGTAGATTCTGTTACACTGGACGGGAGTTGCATGCGCACGAGCGGGAGTAGAATGTGATATTAATTGGCGAAGGCTTTTAAATCGGGTGTTAACTTTGGTGTTTTGCGAACTTTGTGTCTTGGGTGTTTATATTATATGTGCCTATTGTCTGGGTCATTGCAGCTACCTTAGAATCTCTACAAAACAGAGCCGAGCTTAGAATAAAAGCTGTGATGCTCTACATACATTTTTGGTTTATTGTTAATTTCAAGTAAAGGGTAATGCGTGCGGGAGTGAGAAAGAAGGAAACGATATAGATATATCTTAGATAATATCGCAGGTTTGGATAGGCACTTTTTGCCAAGGACCCTCTTCTGGAAAAACTTCGATGCCAACCGAAAATCCGTGGTGTCAGCCCTGGGTCTACGTGTCGCAACGCATTCACCTTGCTTGCGATGCATCACAAACTTACTCTGAGAAGGAAAAAACATAAGCACAGCGTCCCCACCATAGGGTAAAATTCGCCCCAAGTAAGGCAAGCTGAACCTTTTAACGCGCGCTCGGACGGGGGTCAAATTGACCCCCCGAAGGTTTTCCCAGAATGGTTTCCGAACGGCGCGGCAAAGCCGCGCCAAGTTTGGCATAGCTACGGACAACTGAATAGCAAATGGTTTGATGAAAAAATTCGACGTGCTTTGTTGGGGGACTGACCTATGGCAGGTCAAGGTTAGGTCATGGTTTCAACGAAGTCAGTTTCTAGGGAATCGTTCAATGCGATGCAACAACGGAGCGTTAGAAGCGGCCATACATATCTGAAATGCTTTCGTAGACAACACAACAACTGAATGAGCAAATTGCATTGACCTAAGGTCAGGTATGAAGGTCAGACTAAAGTCAAAGCCATCCTGTTTTAGCACTCCATGGCTTGCTGCAATGGATAGTTTTGTGTTTATTTCGAATTTATCGACAGCAAAAACCGCATTTTACATCTTCCATAGACCTCTTAGAGGTCAAAATAGGCCATTGACCTGAAATGGCCCAGGTCAAAAGTTCGTTTTTAGGAGCATACTGCCTAGCGTAAAGTTTGTCGATTATTGAAATACAACACTCAGAGCAGTCTCGTATGGTTTCGGCCACCATGACCCTCAACAGTTCAAACAAGGCCACTGGTCTTATATAAGCATTTGACCTTTTGCTTAGAAACAGGTATCTAGGTTCCGGGGGCACTTTGGAGACCAACCTGGAATTTGACCTTGCATGACCTTATTTGGCATAAAGGTCATGACCTAGGAACCTCAATAGCTGACCTAAGTGAGTTCACGTACAGGTCAACATACCATGGGAATTTGGTGTCTCTAGCTCTCATAGTTCTCGAGCTTTCAGGGGGTCAAATTGATCCTCACCCGAGCGAAGGTTTTCTAAGCGGCCACCCGGATGCGTGTTAAAAGCGGTTCATTCAAAAGTAAGTTACAAAAAACGAAGACGTGCACTTAGTGAATTTAACTGTTGCATATGAAGCGGAAGATTAATAACATAGCTGTCTGTAGATATAAGAATCGTTATCCCATTCTGAGTAGTTATAGCAAAAGCGAGCTCAGCGTAACACTGATTCATCTTTTCCTACTCTCCCATTACCGGAATACTGCTACCAAGCCTCGCGCCCAAGGAGCGAGGCAGGAGGAGGGGGCATCACAGCCGCTTTGCCAACGCTCTTGCATCCGTACTTCAACACCAACCCGTCTCTAGGTTCCCAACGTTCGCGCCTCTGGCGGCGGATGCGAACACTAACAAAAGGTCACGTGACGTCACGACCGCGGTAGGCGCTCTACTTGAGCAGACATCCCTGCCCCGGCAGCATCATTGTATCTGGGACGGTCCGACCGAGCACTCACCATGGGAGTCTCACCGCTGCTCATCTTCACCCTGCTGGCCTGTGCGTCGCTCGGCTTGGGCTACGTCACCATGGAGCAAGTGGCGGTCAGGCCA